GGGTGCGGCGTGGACGGGCGGGGGGGGGGGGGGGGGGGGGAGGGAGAGAGAGAGAGGGATCATTTATCTTGCTTGGATGTGTTTAACACATATTCCTGAATTAAGCAAGATACTAACTTCATTTCCCTTCATTTCATTTCTGTTCTAAAGCTGCAACCTAGGAAAAAAGCCAGGTGGGAAATCTTGTCACCTCATCAAGCCAAATTGCATGAGTTCATCTTGAAAGAACAGTCATTTTTAACCTCCTAGAAGTTTTGGACTTTGGAAGGAAAAATGATAATGATGATTGTTATTTTGCACACTAGGGTTTGAGTGAAGCTTCAATAGACACCGAGTTGCCAGCGTTTCAGAGATCGGTTTTATTTAGTACATCCGAGAAGAGTTTGAACTCCTTTCTAGCGATGCCGCTGATTTATTAGCTAATCCTGATAAAAATGTGCCTCTGGCTACCTGGAAAAAAATTACTTTCTTGCCAGTAGTGATTAATTACTATTAAGTCAAAAAGCATGATGGGGCTTTGAAGGATGAGGATTGTGTTTGGCTTTTTTTTATTATTTTATTTCATCTTTAATCTTTTTTTTTTTTCTTTTCCTTTCTCTAAATGCAGTCATGTGAAGCATAGTATTCACTCTCATCTCCTTATTTTAGCTTTGCTTTGCAGGCATAGGTGAAGAATTGCATAAAGATAGTTCAACTTGGCTCTCAGGGGTAGGATAGCAATATGAAACCCCAAGATGCTTTCCATAAGTGATGCATAATGCTTATACATTAATTGATCCATCACTCTCAGTTGATTTCTTTCCTAATCCAGGCGATGAGGCTGTGGCAGTGGTATACCCTGAAGGGTTAATAGTGGGCTGTAGTTTATTTAAGTGTATGGAGAGCAAACCTTGGGTGTGGAGGGGGAGAAGGTGGGTTTGTGTTGGGAGGAGGGAAGAGACAGGAATTAGCTTAAAGCAAAACCGTAGCAACCAGAGTAATTTCAGGTGTAATTCCATTGAAATGAGAGCACAGGATGTGTATTCTTGAAAATATTATTAAGAGATCCTATTGTGGTGCTCCTGTACAGCAGGAGGAAATCGAAAATTAAGAACGTGAAGATAAAGTACATGACTATGCCTCCCTCCCCAAAAAAACTATCACAAAAGGAGTGTGAAGTCCCAGGTTCTCTCACCAGGCCAGATACCAGGGAAGAGGCAGGGGAGCACGATTCTCTTGCAGACACGCAAAGAGAGAAAAGGGTACGGGGGGAAGCAGCGTGTGAGGGAAGGTGGGAAAGGCTTGCCAGATCCCCGAAAACAAGCTTTCATGGCATGAGTGTAGCTGCTGCATATTTCCCCTGTCCTTGCTTCTCTCCACACGGGGCAGGAACAGGCTCCTGCTGTGGTACTTTGCTCTAGGGTTGAGAAGAGGCTGTGTGCTGAGATCCGCGGGTAGAAATCTACCGGGGCTGAACTGACCCACCCACGCGCTCACACATACACACACACATATACACACGCACGGAGTTAACTAATCACACTTGAACAATTTAACAAGCCATTCATTCATAACTTCCCCCCTTCTTATCCAGCAGTGGAGTATGCTTAAAGGCTGAGTTACTGGGAGACATAAAGGTTAGTGCTCTCAGGACAGCCATATTATAATGCATTATCTTTGAAGTCATTTAAGGCCAATTTAAGTGGTATTTAGTATAATATTTATGAATTAATGTAATCTAAATATAGGACTGTCCCCATAGGTTTAAACAGCCTTTTCTGTCGAAGCTTGCTTGTACCCAAGGCCTGGAATGTGTTTTAATTTAAAACACGCAGGTCTCCATAATATTCTATTTAGGAAGTCAGAAGAAATCAGCATTCCACACTTAACTGAGATTTACTGAAACACACGCGGGTGAGTGCACTTAAAGAGTGGAGAGAGTGTGCAGTGGGAAAGCAAGAGTCTTCCATAGACCCGAGAGCTACAACATTCTTTCAACCCTTTTTTTTTGGGGGGGGAAACACAAAAACCCCAAAACCTCCTTGAAATCCACCATTGCAGTCCCGTGGTTAGGATGTTGTTCCTACCTGACCCGAACCTCACTCGATAAGCATTCAATGCAGCTAGAAAAATGCAGTATGAAAAGAATAGTTTAGTTCTTTTGCTGCTTTACCTTCTCAAAAGTATAAATAATTTTGAAATTTAAGACACCTTGGGGGTAGGTAAACAAGGCTTCCATTCATTATATTCTGTTCAGTTTGATTACAAAGATAGATGATAGAAAAATTAAAACCTTGTTAAGTCTAAGGATGTTTATGAAGGTTTTGGATATCTCAGGAATTCAAAGGTGCAATGAAAATGAGCATTCAGTTAAGATGATATATTTGTGTATATGTATAAATGTATAGATTTGTGTGTGTGTATACATACAGAAAAAAGAGATGTATACACATTCATGCATATAGCCTTTGGGAAATGGAAATTTAGTTGAAAAGAAGCACAACGCAATACAGGTGCTGAATAAACTCCTCCATAATTGAAACATAAGGCTTGCCTGGCTGAAAGCAACACATACAGCATTTAGTATGGTAGTAAACCAAACAAGTTTTAGGGAGGTAAATGCACAAATAAACTGGAATAA